CCGTGGGAAATTTAAGTAGGTCTCTAAAATAAAAAGTTCAGATATTCTTGGGCTGCAAGTTTAGTATAGTTATTTACGTTTAATTAGACTTGTTCTTAAAAGCCAGAGGCATATAATGCCAATTTTGCCTAACATATACATATATATAGATATTTCTACAAGCATGCACAGAAGGGCACACATGCACGTATGTGTGCAAGGTCCCACTTATAATCTTGACGCCATGTTTTGGATCTTGTAAGAGATGCCATTGTTGCCTTGTCCATATCCCCATTGCCTACCCTAAAAAGTCACCTGCAAACAGTTCCCTTTAAGGCAAAAAATTTTCTGTCTCTCTGCCTGAGGCCATTCTCTGACAATGAGTATGCCTCTCCCTTCCCCCACCCCCAACCTCACCCTTGTCTCACCAATCTTATTTCTTGTTCATTCTTGACTAAGTCTTTGCTCACATGTACATCACTTAAAATATTCTCCCCACCCTCTGTGAGTATGAGACTCCATAGTATCTGTCATCTGCCTGCCTCCCTGACTTCCTTCCAAACCATTCTCCCTCACTCATTCCACTCCAATCACTCTGGTCTGTTTTCTGGTCCTCAAACACACCAAACAAAACACTTTTATTCTTAACTATACACTCTGGCTAGGGTGTCTTTCCCCAGATCTTTGTAGAATTGGCTCCTTTTTGTTTTTCAAATCTTAGCTTAAATATCACCTCTTCAAAAATACCTTCCCTGGTCTGTTTAAATTAGTCCTTCCCAATCATTCTCTATATTTTCTTATTTATTTTTCTTCATAGCACTTATCATTGTGTGAAATTTCTCGCTCATGTGAGACTTCTTCATTGTCTACCACTCTAGTAGAATCTAAGCTCCATGATAGCAGGGATCTTGTCTGTCTTATTCACACAGTGGTTCCTGTGCCTGGAACATAGTAAACACCATACATTCAAGTCACCGGTGATGGTCGTGTCACCTCCCAAAAAAGTGGAGGGGGAGCCTCAAAACAGCATGCACATCTCAACATCCATTTGATGCAACAAACAGTTATATATAATTTGTACCCTAAAACTGTATATAATTTGCAGACAAATTCATTAACAATATATTAGCTCACAAAGCCTTTCTCCAGTTGCAATCTTTAGCACATAATCATCACACACAATGTCAAATGCAAGTCACTAAACATGACCATGAAAATGTTCTTCCATGCTTATTAACATTAAAAAGAATGATACACTATATTTTTTCATGAGAAAATTATATGAACTTATTCCTGCCTAACAAGTCAGTCCTGATGGGAACAAAAACATACTTCAGTGGACAATGTCAATGTTCCTCTACAAAAAAGATGCTGGTACACTGGTGCCATGATGAAAATAGTACTGGCTGCACAAAGAGAACAAAGACAGTGAATTCTTATTTACACTAACTTTTCAACCTTCAAATGGCTCTCATCAATTAATACAGCATGCTAAATTTAAAACTGAACATTCTGGGGTCCCTCATATAAGTAACTGTAATTAAAATCAGAGTCTAAAATTTTTATCTCGAATTGGTCCTTGAATCCCTGTATCTAAAATTTCCATTCTCTTTGTTTATGCCACAATGAATTTATTTCTTGTTTGAAACTATGTGGTTTCATCTTTTGTTGGAGTGTCATCTCAAAATAATTAATCAAAATTTTAACATTCATAGCTTTTTTTTCTAATTAGGAAGTAGGGATTAGCAGAATTTCTTTGCTGTGTCTTCCTTCTCGCTTATAGAAAATTTCCTCTGTGGCCTTGCTATTTCAAAGTAAAACCCTTCCTGAATGCAGGAGATAAGAAACTTTTAGTGCCTCTTCCTAACTGTCTATGAGGGAGGGCCATCACAAAAAGTGACTAACAATTAAAACTGAATATGTATTTACAGAATTTTTCACATTATTTTAGAATTTCTTTTAAATTTTATTTCTCCGCAATTATTTTATGGGGTTCAATTACAGTGAGTAAATGCTATGATTCATTGAAAAGAACTACAGGTTTCATTTCAGTTCGTAACAACCTTTTTCGACTTCATATTTATTTTAATGAGGTAAAATGTTTATCTTAAATTTTACTTCAGTCACACACCCCCACTCCACCCCCCACACACACGTACACACATACACAAAAATACTATATGTAGGTTTGCAGTACTGCCCAGAAACCTAAAATTCTTCTATTGTTTTTCTTTCCTGTAAACAAAAATTGGTTGGTGATATGATACCTACAGTAAGTCATTACAGGTCTGATAGTACGGTTGTTACACATTATTGAATCTATCGAAAGAGAAGGGGACACAAAGGGAATTTCCAAATGCAGCTGCTAGTTCCCATTTGTTAAATCCTTTTATATAAGTACACAGCTGGGAAATACTATAAAGTGGGAGTTAAAACAAAATATTTTGGCTTATAGACATTCAGAATACACAGACTCCACTGGAAAGCAATGTTTGATATCAAAAGGGAGTGAAAGTTTGAAAACATTTCTAGCAAGTATGATTTATTTTATAGTAATATGTAATAAATTTGTTACCTTAAACTATTTTATACTAGCATAAACTCCAATCAATGTAAATTTGGTAAGAAAATTATTGAATACCTATTTTTATGACAAAATTGAGACCATGGAAGTTTGAGAATAACACCAAAGCAACCTGGCACTTTCCAAGATACAAACAAAATTTTACCAAGAGAAATAAGTGTTCTCTAAAAAAGTAAAATTTGAATGGTATAATTGCTGTCTCTCCATATTTTCTAGTCTGGTTATTTTTATGTATCCATTATTATATTTATCATCAAAGCCAAAATATATCTTGAATCCATCCCTTTTCTCTATCCCCTCTGCCTCCACACCCATCCAAGCCACTATTATCTCTCACCTGGACTTCTGAAATAGCTTCCCAACAAGTCTTCCTGTTTTCACTCTTGTCTCCCACTGGTCCAGTCACTACACCACAGCCAGAATTAACTGTTTGAAATATTGTTAAACCCTTCAATCACTCTCCATTGCACTTAGAATAAAATCTAAACTCTGCAAGTTATCCACAAGATCCTGTTTGATATATTGTTTTTCTTGTGAGCTGTTGAGTCGATTCTTACTCAAAGTAGAACTGCCCCAGAAGGTTTCTAAGGCTGTAATCTTTAGGGGAGCAGATCGCCAGGTCTTTTCTCCTATGGAGCCAGTGATGAGTTTGACCACCAGTTAGCAGCCTAGCGCTTAACCATTGAGCTACCAGGGCCCCTTCCTGTTTGGTATAGCCCCTACCAATCTCTCTAACTATATCTGATGTTACATTTCATCCTCACTTGTCACACTCCAGACACAAATATCATCTTTCATTTCCTTAAAGACAGTTATATTTTTCTCACCTCAAGGACTTCACACATGCTATTCCTTTTGCCATTTTACCTTCTTCCCATTCATAATTAGACAGGGCATTCTCTAACCATCCATTCTAAGTTAGGTTTACCCATTATGTTCTCAGAGAGTACCCTGTTCTTTTTCTTCATAGAACTTATCACAATTTGAATCATATATTTATTTGTGTGTATATTTATTTGATTTCTGCTCCCTCTCCTAGACTATAAGCTCCATGAAGGCATGAACATGTCTGTTTTGTTCACCACTACACAACCAGTACCCTGTAGAAGACTTTGCTACTAAAAGATGTTCGATAATATTTGCTGAAATCAAAATGAAACACAGCCTTGATGACAACAAAAAATAAAATAAACTATGAAATAAGAAAATGAAACATAGCCCCATTATCTTGCTAATAAATAAATAACAGTGCCTGGATGTCTATTTTACCCATGCTGTCTTGGAGGTATAAGACGAACAACTTAAGTCCAATCAGAAAAAACAGAGCATTGGTCTGGCTTTATTATATCTTCTGCCTTCCCCCATGCAAGGAAAATAAATCTTCCAGTGAATCTATCTAATTTTATAATGTCAATCCCTTTCTAACCTAAAATTAGTTCTAGAAAAGTCTTAAGTTTTCTTTCAATTCCCTACATCTCAGTTACTGCTCCAGAGCACTGGTTGTGTCTGCAAAATCAACTGAAAAGAAAAATTTCTGTCTCTCTAAATTATTAAATCAAGTCTTTGAACTGGCTTCAAGACATTAAGTATAGAACAAGAATTTAAATATATGTTACTAATGGTAAAGACATTTTAAAATATTACCTTGTTTTTTATTTAAAGAATAAAACTTTTCCTCATTGCCCACGTAAAATGTTTTTCATTAACGTAACCAAAAGCCAAGAAATGCAAAATGGGGTTTAAAATTTCTAATCTAATATAATATATTAAGGTTTCAGTCAGTTCTAGATCCTAAAAAAATGAATATTTTGCTTTAAACTAGATAATCAACGTCACTTATTATGGTTTCTGTTTTGATGCTTAGAGAGAAAATTTAACATGGGGAAGCAGGCTAATACACTGCACGCATTTGATGGTGTTTCTACCTTTAGGGCAAACTCCCGCAGCATGACTGAATGATACTCAGGAGCTTTGCATGCTTTTTAAAATTGATATATAGGCACGTAAGTGAGAAAAGCCTTATTATAAATCAAGTATGACCACTAAAAATGATAAACACCTGCATTTCCTCACTGAAGATGTATTCACCATATGACTTCATTCACACAGACACATTTGCTTAATATGATTTTTCTATATTAATACACAGCCAAACTTTATTTGATCATACTTATTTTATGATCTTACCAAGTTCGCTACCTTGAGTTCAGACTTTTGACAAGTTGACCTAATAATGTGACCTAAATCACAAACAACTCTCCACCTCTCACAGGTTCCAATATGTTAATCATATGTACATGGTGTTTGTTTCATGGCCTGAAAAGTAATAACCCTAATGCTATGTATTTTGAGCTTTCCCTCAAGTAAACACCTATCAGTAATGAGATCATGCTAACTGACACAACTTAACGACAGCGGCCAGATTTTAAAAGCTCACCATTCTTTGCTGAGACGACAGAACGCTGTCCCAGTCAGCATCTTGTTGAATGGTAGTGACAAGTGTTGGTAGCTCCTCAGAGTGAGGTTTGTTGTGCATTACAGGGTGCAGAGGCAGATGGGAGGCCACATGTTGATCACTGCCCTCTTCTTTTTCCCTTGAGGTCAAATCCCGGGTCATTGCTTCCTCTCCATCAGCTGCACAGGCAAATGGAGAGGTGGCTTGCTTAGAAGACATTCTTCTGCAGAAGAAGAAAAACAGCATGGATTAAAATGGGCTGTCAACAACAAAAGAATAAACTGTCCCTTGCATTTAACTAATTCAGGAAAAAAGAAAAGTTCTCTAACTTTAGAGATGTTTATGATCTACTCTAAACCAATGAGAAAGAACACCTTATCTGCTCTGCCTTTCTTTCTTAACTCAGCAAACCTCTTCCCAGTAATTGTTACATTTTTCCCTCTCCTAGCAATCCACAAATGAAATTTTTATTATTATTTATTATAGAATAAGTTTTCACAGTGTGTAATGTGTTTGTAAGTGTGTGAGTGTGTCTGTGTCTGTGTGTGTGTGTGTGCGTATTTTTCCTCCCAGTTCTCCCCACTAGATTACAAGCTTCTTAAGGGTAATTAGGAAGATAGTTAGCAATAAAAAAGAAAAAAAAAAATGAACGAACAAACTGGCAGAGTCAGTTTGGAGGATGACTTGAAAATGAAAATATCCAAATTTCTCTTACAGTTTACATAGGAACAAAATTCTATTGAAAACGAAGGAAGTTCTACGTAGGAAAATATAATAAGCAGAGTAAATAATCTATAGCAGAAGTCCTAAGTAAATCTGGTCCTGACTTGCTAGTTTATACCTTGTATTTTAAGTGTTAGGCCTAATACTGCTTAGAACCAATACGATCCTTTTCTAAAGACTTTTAAAATATGTCAACTGCTGCAAATGTCTAAATGACATATTGATTGAGTGGCTGATAATGTTAGTCTTAAGACAATTTGTACCAATTAAATTGAGTATCTGAAATAACTATATTTTTCAATATTAAAATGACATAAAATTCAAAGCATTTACTATGAAAATAATAAAATATGTACTATGCATAATATTTTAAAATCTCCAAAAACAATTAGTGAACATTAATTCATGTATCCACATATAAAAATCAATTACACTCAGTATAACAAGGTCTTCAGTCTCTACACTCCTATAAAATCATAAAATCATGCCTATTAAACAGAATTTCAAAACTTACAGAAAGAATATCACCTTATCAAGATGATTTTCTTAGTAATATGGTTAGAAATAAAACCACTAAAATAAACATAAACCTCAAAAGAAGAGGTAATTGAGTATTTTTTTTAAACTTTAGTTGTTTTTGGTTTATAGCATCTTTAGCTCTAAAACTGCTGTGTAATGAAAGGAATAAAATATCCACCTTAATTGCTCTTTAACATTAATTGATTTCATACCATTTTTTTAAAAATGCACAAATCAGTTAACATAGGAAACCACATGAGCATTTTTCAAATTAGCAAATCATTAACTTGCTAGTACTGTTTCTACAGACAAATAAATACTGATTAAAGGGTCTAGAAATCTGAGATTAACAGTTAAATTTACAAATCTGTCACATGCTTTCATGAATATTGCAGTGAAGGAAATATCAAGTGCAAAGAAAAATAATTAAGTTAATTCCAATTTAAACAGTAGTTTTTATGTAGCAGCCTGTGTTTCACATAGGATTTAACAGCTAATGCTAAATTTCTCACAATTAATGAGGGGGCTCAGATTTAGTATCCTACAGTGAAAAAAATTAATATAAGATAAGTTAATCTAATTATGCACAGTTCTAAATAAAAGTATTACAGGCTTTTGAAGTGCTTTGAAACATATTAAAATGCTGATACCTATTTATAATAATCATTGTACAAATAGTGAAAATTTCATCTATTAGACTTGATACTAGAAATAAAATGAGAGAAAAAGAGTGCAGAAGGATGCTTACATTTTTAAAGAGAAATAAATTAATTGTTCTGAAGAGTATGATATCAAAGAATTAGATAAATATATTGTTGAACAATTTCTATTAATACCAAAAAATGGATAAATGTATGCATATACACTTGTGGAAAATGATACCAAAAGATGTTTCTTAGTACACAGAATCACTCTAGCGCTTACTTTATTGGTCCTAAAAGGTACTACACAGTAAGACCAGGCAAATTATAACTGAAAAATAACTGTTCTACAAATTTATCAAGAGCTTGTCATAAACAACAAGAATGTTTTCATGGTTCAGATAATGACACTCCCGATAATGTAATCATTTATATTAAAAACAGAAACATGAATTTACTGCTGCTTTTTAAAACAGTTAAATACAATTGAAAGTCATAATCCAAAACATAGAGTTTAGCTACCCAGAAGATATCCTCTTATTATAGTGAATTGGCTCCTTCCAATAGCTAATATATATGATTGTTCCATTGGTATAAATTAATCAGGACATGAAACCCAAAATGAAAACAGTCTCTTAAGAATAATTTCAACGATAAACTGCACCAATGAACAATAGTGCACAATCCTAATTAAACACAAACGTGCAGCTGTAAAAATAGACTAAATCTGTCCAAAGCTATGAGCTGAGTTTAAAGGCTGGTTTGTTAGAGTGTTTTCTTAAGGAAGGCTGGGCCCTCAGTCTTAATCAGCCAATAAATTATTTCCTGCAATTATATTAAATAGAAAATTATCTTCAAATGGGGAGTGTTAATTGAAAATCAAAATTCAGAGGGAAGTTTAGAAATTACACGCTGAATACAATTAGTAAGGAAGACTTCACCCCTAGTTCATCAACAATCTTCTGGTGATTCCTCCAGTGACCATTCAGGAAAGCTACCTATTTATAACATCACACAATTTGTCGTTTGTTTTGCACCTACAAACACAGATGTGTATTAAGGTTGCCAATAAAAGAAAGGCTGCGCCCCAAAAAATCAATATTAAATCTGACTGTTAATTCTCAGCTCATAGCATCATTAGGTGACAAGGAGACAAAGAAGGTAGGACAACTGGTTAAAATCCAAGGAAGGCATGCATACTCAACTTCGAAATTCCTTTCTTCTGCAAAGGAATCAATACTTTTTTGTTCCAAGAATACATTTTCCATTTCATATTTAATTTCTTCCATTAACTTTAATATAGTTCTCAAAAACATTGTTAGCAGAGAAAAGGGTGATTTTTGTTCTTTTAGCAAGGTATTATTCCACTGAGGGCATTTCCTTTTGATAAAAATCACTGTACTTGTTTCAGGTTTCTTTTTTCCATTGGTTTTGATGTTTTTGTTGTTGTAGTGGTGGTTTTGCTCTTTTAAAGGGAAAATGTGCACAAATTATTTTTAGTGTATACTTTATTAAATAGGCCTAGGTTTTTTATTACTAGATTAGATTTACTAGTAATTTTTGCACAGTTACTTTATTGAGGAATCCATACATATACTGATTATATCCATATTTCATTTCTTTACCTTAGCTTTCCCTTTTGGAATATTTTACTAGACCAACTAAACTGTATTCTAGAAGCCACAAAGACATGTGACTTTTGGCAAGGCCTATACTATAACCACTGCACCATACTTACTCTCCCTTACAAACTCATAGATCAAATATACACTTGTTTTAATCTTCTAAAATGCATGTGGAATGCTTCTTATGTTTAATGCTAATTTCAGTAGTTTTCCCCTACAAAAATTTTCACCACCAGTGTATTTGAATAGTACCTTACTTAAGCTGCTGCCATATACACCTAATAAGCAAAACAAAGAATCAAAATCCATGTGAAAATGGTCAATTTTTATGTGACTTTACTTTGTTTTATTTTGGAACTATTATAACTTAAAAATCATTCAAATGAATTGTCTTTTTTTAATTTGTATTAAAAAAAATATCTCCCTAGTTATACCCCCCTGAAAACAGGGGTTTATAATGGAAGTGCTGACACAACCCTAACTAAAGCAGCGCAAATGTTGCCGCTATAATACACAAAATCAAGTTCTATTATTCTAAACTATCCTCGCTCATGGGATTTTTCTTTACTGTGCTCCCAGCCAAACTGCTGAAGCATGAAAAATTTAAATGCAATCAAATGCGCCCAATTCTACTTTACTAGAACAAGTGTCTACAGTGGTACAATCTTAAAAGGAGATGCAACAGATTTGTTTGGTGTTTTTTTTAACTGTTTATTTATAATACAGTGCATTGGAGATAAAATAAAAGAGGAAATTACACTCACATGGTACCAGTGTATTGACTACACAGAGCACATTATAATCAGAGAGAAAAACTACATTGTCAACTTATCACATTGGTTAAACAAGATGGTTTTCTGGGGCATAGCTATTATCAAGTAAAACCTCCAAGGAGAATTACATATCTTTGGGACACATAAAATAAATTCCCATCATGTGTTCCCCGAGTTTGAAATGTCTCTGCCCAGCAGATCAAGTGAATTTCCAGGCTGACAGGTCATTGGGAAGAACTTCAGGGCTTAGGACTTCTGGAAATGAGATTGTTAAAGATAAAGCCTCTAGTAATTGATAATGTTCTCTAGGAAGTCAGTGGGAGTGCCTCTAGAAAGGTGATAATTATTTTACTCCAAAACCTTAGGAGAAAATCTGACTGTTTAGGCTATCACAAGCCTATTTAGACAGTAAATTTGCTTTCTTTCTGTTCTTTAATAAGAAATCAAAATTACCTGGTCCAAGGCTTTATAAAATGATTAAAATATTGGATATCTACACGTGAAGTCCTCCATCTCAGAAAATTATATTTTCTAGAACTTTACACTTTTCTGATTTGATATTGTGATTTTTTAAAATGTTATTTATATGTTTTTAAAAGTTAGGATTATTTTTAAACAGCTTTCTCATACGGCATAGCCATTCAAAATTAAATTTTTTTGTTGTTGTTTTGTTTTACTATTGCTTGGAAAGAATCCATCTCCCAAAACTATCATTTGGACTTACATAACCATCCAAAGAAGCCACTGAATTTATTGGAACAATATTTTTAACCTGATTTTTAAAAATATTTCCACTACTTTTAAGATTATTATCAAATGGAATTCACTTTTTAGGTGTGTTACATTTATTCAAAAGAAGCCTTGTTTTTAACATAAAGCAACATTTAAATAGTTGGTTTACTTAAAGAAAAAATAAAAACTTTAGGCCAACATTCACATTTA